ATTCTTCCTTCCTATGCGACTTTAGGGAAGTCACAAGCTGTCAAGACTTTAAAATGAGCCTGATATCTAATTTTGCAGGGTTGTTGTAAAGATTATGGATAATGGGTGCAAAGCCCCTACATTGGGCCTGGCATGTGGTAGGTACTCAAGAAGTTACAGCTATTATTAACAATATCAGTAAAATCAAGACCATTTCCTGACTGTAGGTGGCTTGAGAGTACAGAACAACAGATAAACAGTCACTTGAGTGGTGAGTAGTTCTCTGACAGTACACTCATGGATTGGATACTGCTTTCTTAAAAACAATATTCTGTAAAGAGTATTTGCAGTAACTAATACTACATATTTAATTCACACGACACATGTCATCTGCAGTGCTCCTACCACACAGACATCTTCACTACTTGAACATACCAGGTACTATCATAACCCCATGCCTTTGCATACTTTGTCCCTTCTGAGATACCCTTCCTGCTCTCTGGTCTGGTGACAACCCTACAATTCTAGCCCAAAGTCTGACTCAAAAGACTAGCTCAATTAAAATCTAGCTCAAGAAATTTCACTTGACCCAGCAATCCCATTACTGGGTATATAACCAAAGGATTATAAATCGTTCTATTATAAGGACACATGCAAACAAATGTTTACTGTAGCCCTGTTCACAACAGTAAAGACTTGGAAGCAACCCAAATGCCCATCAATGATAGACTGGATAAAGAAAATGTGGCACATATACACCATGGAATACTATGTAGCCATCAAAAATGATAAGTTGGTGTCCTTTGTAGGGACATGGATGAACTTGGAAATCATCATTCTCAGCAAACTGACACAAGAACAGAAAATAAAACACCACATGTTCTCACTCATAGGTGGGTGTTAACAATGAGAACACATGGACACAGGGAGGGGAGCATCACACACTGGGATCTGTGGTGGGGGGAACTAGGTGAGGGACAGCGGGGGATGGGGAGTTGGGGAGGGATAACATGGGGAGAAATGCCAGATACAGGGGATGAGGAGGAAGGCAGCAAACCACATTGCCATGTATGTATCTATGGAACAATCTTGCATGTTCTTCACATGTACCCCAAAACCTAAAATGCAATAAAATATATATATTAAAAAAAAGTCATTTCCAGTACAGTCTCTTCCCTGCACGCTCGAGACAGAATTAGTGGCCCCGCCATTTGTACTTCCAAGACATTTGGTTCCTGTCTCTGTAATGCCTCATACTCTATTGAATTCTTACTTCCCTTTCATTTTTGCTTCTTCCACTAGGCTTCCACATTGAGAAGAGGATTATATTCCCTTGATTTGTGTACTCAGAGCACCTTGTACCTCACTTGGCACCTAGTGAGGTAGGTGCCTAGGAGATGTTTGGTGAATCAATGTTCTAAATATACTTTGTAAATAACTGTTGGAAGACAGGTAACTGCCTTTAGTGAACTATATTACCAGCAATCGCATTCCTTTTTCCTGACTTCAAACAAGAGACAAGATAACTTATATAGACTCCAGAATGTCTTCCGAATATGGAACATATAGAAGTTTCCAAACACTACTGATCTCATCAGTACCCTGTGGCCAGATGATGGAACCCCCAGAACAACATTTCTCAGCCTTTGTTCCAGTCTAGCACAGCTGAGCGATATACCATACTCCCATCAGGAGCTCACCACAGATGACTAAGAAGGCCCAGCAGAGTTTTCTCACAGCCTTCCAGTGCCACACTGCCGCCAAAGTGGAAGGGCCTTCTCTGAACCAGCAACTCCATCAAAGTAGCAGAAAATTTCAAGGCTCCATGGTGTGTGCAGGGAGCCCACCTAATGCTGCCTACTCCCAGATCCCTACCACCCAGAATGCCTTGGAATCGGTTTGCCTATTCTAAGAATAGGGCTCTTTCACTGTTACGAAGCCTTAGGCATTCAAGGAAGGACTTCTTTGTGGGTCCAGTACATCTGTTTCAGCATGTCTTAACCTGCATAACTAAAAAGCAATTATGAAAAGAAGTTCATGATCAATCAGTCCTGTGTCAGATGGAAATAGGCAGAGGGTCACCTAGCAGCCCTGCACATCTGACTGTTGACACTTGTGAATCATTCTCTGTCACTGCAGTTTCCAGAGCCTTGTCAATGCAGCAGTGGGCTCAGATTTACCAAGATCCAAAAGGCTGGAAAGAGGATCTGGAGCCATGGCCCATGCCTTGGGACCCACCAAACCATAAGAGTGACTATTTCTGTGACAAATAATCTGCAAAGTAAAGACAGCCATATTCTGCCTTAGTGCCATATTCTTTCTCATCTCTCCAATGGAATGGCTGCACTCTGAAGGTGGGAAGAGGGCAGGAAGAAAGAGAATGAGACCACAGACCACCAGGAAAGCAGTGATTGAAAGCAGCAGCTCTAGATTTCTAGAGTTATTCACTTATTCATCCCACAATATTTATTGACCCAGGTACTAATCCAGGTATGCAGGCTATAATACTGACACAGTCATGGCCTTGACCCCATGAAGCTTTAAGTTTAGTAGGGTAGGCGGGTATTAATGAAATAAGCACACAGACAAATACAAGGGTACAAATATGCACTATGATGGAGGAGTAGCGCCTACTACAGAAATTACAGAAACAGGGAGCAGTAGATCTGGGAAGGAAGTCAGGAGAGCTTCCCTTAGCAAGTACCAAGTGAGGACAAATAGGAGTTCACTAGGTCTGGAGGAGAGGAAAAGAGAAGGAAACATTCCTGGCAAAGAGAACAGGGTGTGACAACCTCCTGGGGTAGGAAGGAGATGTTGAATTTGTTTAAAATTACAGGCAGGGGGCAAAGCAGTGGCATCAAGGTTTAAATCCCCACATTAGGTATCTTCCTGTGTACACCCCTCAGTTTTCTTTCCAGTTATAGGGAAGGCCTTCCTCAGCATGGAAGGGGACTAAAGCACAATGTCAAAAACTAGGAGTGCTTAGGAGACATGAAACACTACCAGCTAAAACACCAAATCTGATTTACCAACAATACATGGCCAATGTCTTCTTGAAATATCTAAGATTAAGGAACCCACTACCTCTGGCAACACAGAATCAGGAAAATGGCACAGTATAAAAGACCTTTAAATTTTTCAGGTAGAAGTATATTTTAATCCAGGTAGAATTAAGATATTGATAAATATGTTGATAATTACTACAAATCTGTTTAGATACCAGGTATTTCATTGTAATTTCATATATTAATTTTTTGCAGGAAAGGGCTAAAGGAAAAAATGGTTAAAGGTAGTATCAGTGCAGCACTATTTTGCTTTGGCAACTCTGTTAGCCTGTTTGAGCACTTGAGGCAGTTTCTTATGGCTTCTGAATTAATTGTCACCTTGCAAACAAGTTATGTAGCTTTCTGTTTGTAAACCAGTCTGTAATCAATTGTGAATTGGCCTCCCTACCCTTCTGAGAGATTATACTCATTCTACAGATAAAACAACAGATAAGTGAGTTGCCCAAGGGCACAAAACAATTCAGCTTTTACTTATCTTTCTTATCACCATCTCCAAACAGAAGACACACATGGCTTGTCTAGCTACAGGAACAACCCTACTACTATCCTGCAGACCACTCCTAACCCCCTGGCGCAGCAGAGGATGGCACTGCAGTCAGTTCTGTTAAGGCCAACAATAATAATGTCTGCACCGTGTTAGGGACGCTGGCACTCCAGACCAGAACATGAACTCAAAGTGAAATAAAAGCACCCAGAAAGTCACAATGATTCACAAGTTAAAATATGTCACCATCCCTAGGGAGACTGCATACTTAACATACAAACACTCCCCTAAGACTTCCTTTCATCCTCAACAAGCAGCCAAGTCGTCCCCACAGTTGGCCCCCATAGTACAGCCAGCACAGTACCGTAAGACATCTTAAGTGTACAAGCCCTTCTTCACCCCTTGGCTGAGACCGCCAGCATTTAAAGCACCTAGCATAGGTTACAGTATACAAATGTTTACTGAGCACATGTCTTCCCAACTAGCAAAGAAGGGAAACTTAAGAGATCAGTTAGGCCAACTTCTTATTTTACGGAAAGGCCAAAGAAGGGCAGAGAATCATCAAGTTACATATGGCCTGGTCTCCAATCCAAGTCTTTGGGCTCAGTGTAGTTCCACAGACATTTTATTTGTGCCTACTATTTGCCAGATACGGTGGGTTGGAGGCGCTTGGGACACTAGGACGTGCAGGAGATGGTCTCAGCTTCAGGGAGCTCACAGCCTGGGGAAAGAGAACAGTTACAGAACAGTCGAGCAGGGCAGGCGCTTGAGTCCTTAGCCCGTGCTTTCTCCACACTGTGCACTGGGTGTTCCCCATCTGGAAAAGTACAGCAATATCTACTTCCTGCAAATAAACTTGTGGCGAAGACTGATGAGAAAATGCGTATGGAAAATGATCAGACTCACCCTGAAATGCATTATATAAGGTATTGCCATACGCTGACACTGACTCCAGGGATTCAACAATGTTTCAGGTATCCGTTCAACAAAGAAGCCAACAAGCAAAGGATGGGCATACATCCAAGGAAAACCCCAAGGGCTGCGAGGAACTGGAGGAAACAGCTGGGGTGGGGTTAGGGGTTTGGGTCAAGTGAAACGGCCAGATGCGGAGAATGGAGGACACGCAGCGGGGCAGAAGAGGATGGAACCGAGAGAAAGAACTTGGGACAGCAATGAGGGAGAGCAAGCGGAGAGGAATGGGGTTCCCTTGGGGCACGACGAGTCTCCCGGCCGGGCTCTTCCGGCTGTGGCCCGGCAGGGGCTGAAGGCACCGGGCACTGGAGGAGGAAGAGGGCGGGCGCCGAGGCCGACTGTTTCGTCTGGGAGCCGCTTGCACCCGCAGGGAAGCTCAGGCAAGCGCCCGGGTCCTCGGGCTGCAGCATCTCGCCCGCCGTGCCTCCCCGGAGCTGAACACTAGCCCGTGCCTGAGCCCGTAGCGCGGACTCTTGGGGGCGCCAACGCCGCCCCCTCACCTCGGGTTGAAGTCCTGGAAGAGGCCCCTCAGGTTCATGGCGGAGAACTTCACCGCGGCGTCCTCCACCCCCGCAACCCGTGCTGCACAGCTTGCGCCTTACAGCGGGTTCATGGCGCCAGTGCCAGCCGCGTCCCCACTGCTGCTCCCGCTACTGCTGCCGCTGCCGCCGAAGCCGCCGCTGCCGCTGCTGCTGTTGCTGCCACCGCTGCTGCCGCCGCCGCCGCCCCAAGAAACCTGAACCACCGCTCCCCGCCCCTCCTTCCGGGCTTCCGTACGGAGGCTGCGCATGCGCTAGGAGCCCCGCCCAGAGCGTCCCGGGCAGAGAGGCCGCTGGCCCTGTTTCTGCACCCGGCTGGCAGAGGAGACCCCAAAGGGTATGGAGGCTGGGAGTGAGCAGGGACCCGAGGAAGATGATGCTGACGGGTTGAAGGCCTGCAGGGAGGGAGTGCACCGCCCAGGAGTCTGGCGGGCAGGACTTGGCAGACACCTGTCACCTTGGCCCGCGCTGCCTTCTGGAGCTTTTCACTGGGAGTAGTGACGAGTGAGATGTTACATTTTGGCGATGTTATCCCAGGCTTCACCGGTCAGATCTGTCAGCGACTCCAAAGTTTGGGTCCCAACTTCCCTTCCAATTCCCAAGGCAGCATGTCCAGATATGCTGACTATTCCAAACTCAACTTACCTAGCACCAAAATCACTTACTCCCACCTGCCTTCCCCTCTTGGGCTCCCTTTTTCCCTTAGCAGCAGGCCTATTCGTAAGGGATATTCAAGCTGAAGACGTGGAAATCATCGTGACTTTGCTAACCCAGTTCAGAGCCTCCTTGGATCCTGTCTAAACTTTGTGGTCACTGCGCACCTGGCCTCTGCCTTCACTCCAGGCTGCCCTACTTCCAAGTGCCAAGTTCATCTTCCTCGGGCAAGTCAACATCTTTGAGTCTCAGTTTTCTCTCTGCAGAATGGAAATGACAAAAACCCATTTTCTAAGCGTGTTAGGAAGATTAAGTGAGACAGTGTGCATAACACACTGCCTGGTACGTGCTAGGTGTTCAAAGAATGTTGTTGCTATCTGGTACTCTTTCAGGTGCCTACCTCCTCAAGGATTTTGTTTGCTTTTGGAATCCAAGAGCAGGACAAGCTCATAGCAGATGACCTAGTTTACCATCTTCACTTCGGGCAGATTTAAGTTTTCATGAGCACAGCAATGCCTTAAACATTAGTCTGGTATCATTATGCATTATGGATAATAGTCATCCTTTGTTGCAATAGCAGAGTTTCACAAATGACAATTTTATACTGTTTAGCCCCAAGGGCAGCTTGAGAGGATCACAATTATGATAGTCATACTTAGCCTTGATGTATCACCTTTCTTAGAATGTGAAAACATTTCATAAGTGGTAATTAAGCTTCTCAACACCCACTGGGGAATGGATATAATTATACAAACCGATTTTAAGGATGAGTATTCCAATCAGGTTTTCATCTGCTGAAGCACCGGGACTTTGTCCCAGACTTTTTGGCCCAGCTTCCTTTCCCATCCTCTGGGTGAAGTCCAATGTGTAGCCCAGAGGAGGTTCTCAATGAGCACTCAAATACAGACGAGGAACTAAGGCACAGAGAAGCTTGTGTAATAGGCCATGAGCCACCCAGTAAGTAAGGGTGGAAGAGTACAGATGCAACATAGCGTCTAGCTGAACCTGCATCCCACACAATTAGAAAGAGGTGCTTGCCAGTGGTCATATTGAACAGCACCATCTTCATTACCAGTGACTGTGCCCCAAGCAGGCATGAGGAGATGGCCTGTCAGTTCGGACACTTGAACAACAGGCACTATTGGCCTTTCAAGAGCTTCATAGACAGAGGCCAGGCAAGCTCCTCAGAGTCCAGAGCCTTGAGGGCAGATGCTACTTTAGTGAGATTTCCAGGGAGTCCTGGAGCTGAACCACTGCTCTGCAGGCCCACAAGTTCAATTTTAGTAGTTCTCCCAGAGTTGGCCAGGCCTTGGGAGCCATCTAGCAAAGGCAACAGGGCACTGACACACAAATTACTTGTCAGTGTATTCTTTTGCTCTGACAAGGTAAATTGCCAAGAGGAGAATATGAACCTGTCTATGAGGAAAAACAGGAAGAACTGGACTATCCCAAGGCCTCACATCCCCAGTCTTCAAGAGGTGGATTACCTGGACTGCCTCAACTACACTGGAAGCTCAGCCCTGTACACTACTGGTGCTTTCATGGAAGAAAAGGAAAATAGCCAGAAACCAGATGTCCACCTGGTCCTCTCTCCAGCAAGTGCAAAAGACCCTACTGACAACCTGCTGCTCACCTCAGAGACCTCACTCAGTGTCCCACCCTAGATGGAGGTCCAAAGCCTCAATTACCTGGGTAGACAGACCCACGAGTAATCCTGATATTAAAGAAAGACCCTGGGCCATATGCAGGCACCAGGACTGTTGGGAAGCTTAATTACCACTTATGAAATGTTTTTACATTCTCAGAAGAAAGGTGATAGATGCATCAATTCTAAATATGACGAGTGGAGAAGATGACACCCCCATCTTCTCCACTAGCAGTCTGACTTTATCTTTTCCTTGACTTGCTACAAAATTCCAGGGCTGTCTTACTAGGGGCTCCAAGCATTCTTCATTCAAAGGCCAGAAATGGCTCTGGATTATAAAAGCATGATCCCCAAATAAGCCAGAAAACATATTCTTGTGACTTTGGGGTGGGCTTAGGTTATAATATTCCAGAAGCATCAGTTTATATCTGACCATGGTTTTAAAGGCTAACTTTGATTTTTACCACCCTTCTGATAAGTTGGTGGCTTGTCCAATTCAATATTCACATTGGCTCCAATGTGATGGTATAGAGGGTAGACCCTGGTGAAGAGAATCATGGTGCTTTTAAACACTTGAATTGGGGAGACCTGGCATAGGGGAAGGAAGTGGCTATGGACCAGCTCTCCACACCACCAAGCCTCCTTCCCTGGCTGCAACAGTGAAATGGAGAGAGTATGGATTTAGTAGATTTGATCTCAACACCAGCTTCACCCTTGCTCTGGTGGAGGGAGGGCCAGCTGGGATCCAGTCCCAGACAAGGCCTATGGGACTATAAAGAGCTTCTGAGAGATCATATTTACACTTTCTTTAGCCAGGAAACATGGAGGTGCCAGCCTGCAAGGCTTTCTCAGCCTGAAATTTCCCACCTTAAGTTACCTAAAGTCCACACTTTGAATGCCACCAATTAGAGAATTGCTGAAAATGCTTGGAATTACTCCACTTGCAGAATGGAATCTCCTGCTTCCTGAGAGAACCCTTTGCTTCTGGCAACATTAGCTTGACGTGAATACACATCTGAGATCTCCCTGTGAGGTGGGTGGGTCTGGAGTCTAGACAGTGGTTTAGTTAAATGCAGAGCTAAATTTAGGGGCTTGGAGAACTGGAGGAGGAGATTGGGGGAGGCGACCAAAGGGACCACAGAGGCAGTAACTATAGTTCTGCTTGCACTTGCAGCGACCCCATGGCCTTCCAAAGCCCAGAAGGAGCCACTTCCTCAGGGAGGCTTCCCTCAGGTAGGCAAACTATAGTTACTGAGAGAGAAGAGGGAGGGAGGACAGTCCCAAAGCCGCAGTGGACCTCCTGTTACCCAGGGAAGCCCTGGAAGTAGGTGGTTTATCATCCCTCATGGAGCAAGCTTCCTATTAAGAGAAGCAGGGGCCATTTCCTGTTGGAAGACAGAATGCGGGGGAGCCTGTGCCTGGGCCTACAAACAACCACAGTATCTCTGTGCTTCTCCTCTGGACCTCTCCTGATGCCAGGGTTTCCAGGAAGCCTTCCCAGCTGTGACACTCTCCTCCAGTGTGCTGTGTATGCAAAGCCCAGGTCAAGTGCATGTAGCCAAGCACACAGGACGGACAAAAAGGCCCATGCTGCCAAAGGTCACCAACCAAATGCCCACACGATTCCTTTTTCTCCCTGTTCCCAACCTGCTCTCCTTCGTGAGTCTCCACTCACTGCTGGTCTTTTTCCCTTTGTGTTTCCACATTGGATTTCTGACACATTCCTCTGGGCCTTCTGCCCTAACTAATCAGATTCCCTCTTCCTCACCTTGCCTTCCCCTAATGGATCCTTTCAGCATGGGTAGCCTGTAACCTTTACTTCTTCAGTCGCATTCATCTGACTGTGTTTTCCAGCTTTGTGCTGGGCACTGTGGAAAGCACTGGGAACACACATATATGAATAATGAAAACACAGCATAGTGCACAATCAGTATCAGGGATGTGGGAATGGCTGAGCTGAATCTGAAAGGAAAAAAAAATTTCAGGTTAGGAAGAGAGGAAATGCGGTTCCAGGCAGAGTAAACAACAGTTGTGAAAACACAGAAGTCAGTGAGTAGAGGCAGGTGCAGCTTTTGGAGAACAATGTTGTCTGCAACCACCTCACCACCCCACTCTGCCTACAGGCAGCTGTGCATGTACTTTCTCAGCTCTCTGTGCTTGGACGACTCATGCTTCCCACTACGTCCCTGCATCCTTGGATCCTGGTATGCAGTAGGTGCTCAGGCAAAGATGATGAAATGAATGCTGATGCTGGACAGTCACAGGGTACTAACAAAAAAGCAGTTCTTGTTCTTCCCTTGCCTCAAACCAGGCAACTCATATCTGCAGGAACAATGATCCTTTCTTTCCAAGTTTCTAATAGCTGCCGGCATTGTCTGTGGGTACACGTACTCCCATTTTCCTACCAATCACTAACATATTGAGGTTTTTTGTGTCTTATTATAAAGCAACTTATACCATGCTTGCACAGTTCTAGGATGTCAGATGAACCATCTATTTAATAACATATTTTCAAGGGAAAAACACTGCATGAATCAATGTACTTATGCATCTTAAGATCTACACTCTTTCATAAATCTTACCATGTATAGGAGAAGGTGCATCTTAGATATTCAGCAGTAATTTCTCCTTCTTATTGATCATAAGAAGGCCTACTTTGGGCCATCTTATAATCATTGTTATGGGTTGAATTGTACCATCTAAAATATACCCTTCAATATGCTCAAGTCCTAATCCCCAATACCTGTGACGGTGACCTCACTGGTAACAGGGACTTTGCAGGTGTAATAAAGTTAAAATAAGGTCATTGGAGTGGGCCCTTAATCCAATATAACTGATGTCCTTGTAAGAAAAGGGAAAATGAAACAGACACAAACAGAAGACAGCCATGTGAAACTGAAGGCAGAGACTGGAGTGATGTTGCCACAGCCAAGGAACACCT